AATTTGCGTCTAAATGCAAAAAAAAGAAGACCAGCATTTGTGTATAATCTCAAATGTTACTTAACACCCACACCGAACTCTTTTCTCGAAGACTGAAAATTTTAAGTACCTCTGTTGCGAACCTTTTATATGAAATCTGTAGGCATCTCATTTCATCAGAGGCTCTGTCAATGTCAATGTCTTATTATATGATATTATTGTATTGCATGTATATGCACGAACATTTTTATGTAAGGAGTGAACAACAAATGAAGATAAAAAAAGATAGAGGATCATATAGAGAAATGATTATGTTAACATGTAACGTCGCTGTAACCATGATTAATCATTTAAGACTGATCAATGAATGTGAGGAAACATTTTCGGTTGAATAAGAGTCATAGATCTGGGAAAGTAACGACAACAAATTGCGGTCTGCGACGAAAACACACAAATCTTACATATCATATAACCAAATATTCTTATTGGATATTGTTATGTCGAAAAAGCGAAAAAAAATGAGGTAACTCTAAAGATTTAATTAATGACGATAAAACTACTTAGAAGAGAAGAACAGCAATAGGAAAGACAAGATTAATATCATAGAAAAGAAAAATCAATAATGGTGAATGAGAAAAGACAAATAAAAAAACTACTTGAGATAATCGCTGAATTGTTCATGGAAAATACACATTAATCATAAGCAAAATAAAAAAGAAAAATCAATAGAGAAAAACAGTAAATTTAGCAGTTATCAAGAGTTCCTTATAGACGTTAACTCGTGATTTGCTTTGAGTTGAGACTTCTAATGCAATTGAATTTCAATTATATCTAATTTGTATTCCTGTGTTAAGTCGAACGGTTCTTGATAATGCCACACGTACCGTATGTTTAATCATCTTACCTATTTTTGTATAAATAGAAGACATTTTATTGAATAAAATTCTAAATAGCTTGTCTAGTTAAATCAACTCCTGGAAAGTGAATGCGTTATTATATTGACATTTTTCGTTTGGCTTACGATCTTCGAACAGATTTTGGTAAGAAGATTGCCAAAATTTCTTTTTATTCTTCGTAGAGTAAGATAGTATTCATGATCTCTGAGATATACAAAAAAAACTGAACGCGACAACACATTCACTTTCAGTAGAAGAGTTAGCTCGACAAACTATCAACTTACCTGATCTATCTAAATTTCCACTAGCTATAAGTGGAAAATAAGTTTTCGATTGAGACAGTGGAGAAACAGCACGTCGTTGGCGTTTTGAACGGCTAAAATTTGATAAATTAAATTCACAATAAACGATACCATTGCGGAGCGCCAGTGAAGTTGGAGTTAATTTACCACCCAGATTTGTTGTCGTACCGGCTAACACTGTTGGTGTATTACCAAGTGGATTAATTCCACGAGCAACTGAAATTTTATCGTTAGCTGCACGTCTGCAGACAAAAACATGGTCTTGACCCTGTATAATATTAAAATACAAGTAGTTATCAAATATAAATAAACTTGTATACTATACCATTCTTTTATCAAGTGAAAGACCTAAAGCTAACCATTGTAATCTTTTTAAATTAGTAATTTGCATTTTAACAGATGTAATACCATTTTTATAAGTCCAATTAATTATAACTCCAACGCTGTTCCTTTGTGGATTAACAGAAGTAGACCGGCTAACGGTCTTCGTTGTTGACAAAGTTTTCTATTGTACATGGAAGATAGAAATAATTCATTAGTACTTCAAAAGCAAATTAAGGAAACATTAATTTTAAAAAAAACTTTCGGATATTAATTTTTACGACAATTTCAATGAGAAATTGAATTACCAGAATTAAATAATTTAATAAGAAAAAAAAACAAGATATTATTATTACTTACACCTGCTACAGTGGTAGCTGTATTTGTCTAAATAGATTCAAATAAAAAAGTTTTATTGAATAATAATTAAATAAAATTTACAGATTTCGCAGTTAATGCAATATTAGAACAATCAGCGTATATTTGGTTGAATGATTGAACGATTGTTGCTCTAAATATTGATTAATATATATGTAAAATAAAATAAATAAAGTTCATCTACCTAATAACAATCGAGTCTGTGATTACAGTTGATGGTGGATGCCATATTGCTTTTATTGATGATTTATCAGAACGTGAGTTATGAGTTATGCCAGTATTGCTTATTCCACCACAAGCAAGTGTTTGAATATTTGAACCAACGACTGACCAAGTTCCAACAATTTTTTGATTGGTTTTTGTTTTTGCTATTAATAAAACACCTCTAAATGTATTAGAATTCGTTGAACCACGAACGGTAACTATGATTGAGAAAAGAACCATCATTGAATGAGGAAAAATTTTTCTTAATTATACTCACTCTCCACTATATCATTAGTAGAATATTGTAACTTGTTAGATTCAATTTTATACTTCGATGAACATGGTTGAGAGGCAAAACCATGTTGAGGAAGCATTGTTCCGCATGCCTCCGGTGGTGCACCAGTTGGATAACTATGTCCATAGTTAATAGAGATCGAGGCGAAGATAAACAAATAATAAATGAAAGAATTCATCTGAATAACAGAAGATCAGTTGGAAAAAACAATGATTTTTTTTTCTAAAACTTTACTAAAAATTTGAGTGATTCAACAGATACGAACCTGTGAACATTTTATTAAAATTAAAGATATTTAGAATAAGTTTCTCTGGGATTCTGTACTCTGACTGAAAAAAATATATCAATTGACGTCGAAATTGAAAGAAAAGATCAAATAACTTCACAAAACTATATTGTAGACTAATAAATCTACCATCGTCTTCAACGTCATCTTTCAGTTAATTTAAAAGACTTCTCTAATATATTAATAAAAAGACCAACACGTCCATGTAAGGATAATTGTTCTCTCTTCATCTCCTTTCGTTTATGAATGCATGACAAAGACAAAAATATACTATTAGTGAGCTGATAAAAAATAATCGTCCTAATATCTATTTTAAGAAGAAATATAATAATAGAAGTTTTATGTCGTTGTTATGAAACCTACAAAAAGTGTAGTACTATTTTTAGAGTGGTTTTTATTTGTTTTCATATTATTTTGTTTATGAGTGTCTAAAAAAAAAATAAGTCATGCGATTCGAAAGAGGCAAAAATTTTGTATCGTAATTAAATTTTTTTCTTGATCTAAAAAACTGCGTTTGAATGGTAATCATCTCACTTATTTGTGACTAATCGAGTAACAGAAAGTTCGTGGATTTTATTCTTTCTTCAGGAAGTAGCTTTTTTTCGGTCACTTCGTCATGTGATAAATGGTAACGGTGACTTTCTTAATGTAGAAAAACATCTATATCCTCTAAAAACAAATTGAGTGTTACTTCGTAACTTCTTTTAGAAAACCTTGAGAAAATAAAAGATTTATCCATCGAACGAATGTGAGCAATTACACAGTACACTCTTCTCTCTATTTATTTTTGTTTTCATCGAATAAGATCTTTTTTTCTGACTTTTACTGTCTTAAAAAATTCTAACATGCAAACACTGAAAGACTTATCAAAGTACAGATCAAGAATAACAACAAGAAAAAAAAACAACAAATGTAAAAATATCTTCTACTATTTAACGGACAAAAGTAAAATATATACTGCGGATATCTGTTCACTTTGTTTACTTCTAACCTATACTCTATTGATTACAATTTTGCGATATATTCACCTTGTTGCCATGATTTTCTTTTCGTCATTCGATGGTAGGATTAACCCTTTACCTTTACTATCCGTTTACTCTAAAGCATAAAACTAAATGAATCATTGATCTGTAAAAAAATAAATGATGAGATTTTTTTTTGTGCTCACTTATCTCTTGTTTTTTTAAAGACAAAGGATTCATCTAACTTTAAAAAAATCGAGTGATATGAAAGTATCATCCTTATTCTATATCTATTTTTTTTTTTCATTCTATCTCGAATAATCGTTTATCATCAACAGTGGAAATTACGACTTGTTGAACGTACACGTATACCATTATAATCCATTATATAATACATTTTTATCGAAAATTGGATAGAAGAATACTCACAGTTAAGAAAAAAAAAAGGTTCATTTAAAACGACTTTATATTTCGAGTAGTTGCCTAAAGAATAATTTTTTTCTCTTTAGTCTACATCAGATAATAATATGATAAAAAAAAGACCATGTCTGATTCATTAGTAGCGATTGTTTTTTGAGTTTTTTTTTTTCTATCGCCTCGAACAGGAGAAACAAAGAGGCAGAAAATAACACACAGTCGATGAAAAAAATACACAGCATGTTGTTAATAGACAATAAGAACGTATGATAGACAATTATCTATTTACTTTGAATCTGAAGTCGAAAACAAACAGCATTCAATTTTCAACTCAAATAAACAAAGAGATATAAGTAGACTCTTGGGGTCTTGAACCCCGTGAAAATACTTTGATTAAACTTTCAACGTATAAATAGTATCATACGTTATCTTTATTTGAAGAAATAATAATAATTGAAGCCTTAAACAAATTTTTTCATACTGAGTGATTTTGTATTTGATTGTATTTAGCGATAACTTACTTTCATCATACAAATCAATTGGTATCAAATCTTCATGTAAATAAATAGCTAATGCAGAATTGACTGGAGTAATATAACTAAAAAATGTATAATACAGTGGACGTCAAAAGTCTCGCACCACTTTTTTGTTTTGAGTCGTGTATTTAAACTACACAACATTAATTCAATTCAATTATATGTTTGGATAGCAGAGATCGAGTACTATATATATA